AAAAAAAAAAAAAGATGAAATTTAAGCTTTTCAACTTTGGAGTGACACATATATCTGAACCAAAAGCAATTGAATTAGAGGTAAATACCGTTGCTAGCTATTTTCATAGTGTAAGCAGTTGATTGATCATAATTTCTATATGCAACAGACTGATCCAAGCGGTTTGTACATTTTTGGTCGAAGGTACGGTGTAAAGTGGACATCCAAGATTTATTCTTTGGAAATATTCTATGATGTTTCCGCACTGAAATACGTGATTTTTTTGTCTTCTATTTAGTACTGAAACCGAAACAAGACATTTGGTTTTTTCAAACTTACATTGCATCTGTTCATATGTATCTGCATGTGAACTTTTTTTTTTATAGTAGGCATGTAACTGCAGTGTTTTTGTTTGAGTTTCTGATATAAAGCGTCAGACTGAAATGAACAAAATCATTCTCTTCTAATTTTATGTTTCCAACGATTTATTATCGTATTCTCTAGATCTTTTTTTTTGCTTAATTTATTCACGGTAAATTAATGCTAAACAAATTTTAATATCTACAATTGTTGACAGCACAAAATATATGCTTGAAAACTTACTGACACTAATTAACTAAAATGAACAGATCTGTGCTCAAATTGCCCAGTTTATTGGTGCTTTTTTTGACTATCATTAACAGTTTATGGTTTATAAGTTCGTATTTTTGGAAGGGAACAATTTTTTATTTGTTTCCTATGGAATAAATATTTGATCGTCGGTTGCTGTGAAGACTGAAGGACAGCTTATGTGAGACGATGTTTTATTGGTGTAAACTGAAACAAAATTTAAGAAAAGATTAGCTTTTAAGCGTTGGTCTATAAATCAAATAAGACCGTTATTCAACTAAAACAGTTTTTTTCCTCCCCTCTTTCTTCAGCCCACCCTCGGCTGTCTTTTGCCGTGAAAATGGACAACTTTTGTGTCATTGAACACTCTCTCTGTTACTTTTTTTTGTCATATACTTCACTTTTATACTAACTTGTTGCTCGCAACAAATGCCCGTATAAAAACTGTTCTTTTATTTTCTATATTAAGTATAAGTAATTTTACTCAAGAGTGACTTATGGATAGATATTTAATTACCTTTTGAAACTTTTAAATAGTTTTTATTTAACCTATTTATCACTCAATTTACATGTACTGTGTTCAAAAAATTGTTTCAAAAAATTTCAAAAAAATTCTGCACAGCTTGCTGATAGTGGTTGATTCAAAAATGTTCTTTTGTAGAAGTAAAACTAGTTTTTTTTTGCAATTTTTTTTGAGGTTTCAGATTAAACATTTGATAAAAAGAAGTTTTTTTACTGTTTCTAAAGGAACATCAAATTTTAAGTATTGTGACTTTAACTGCAATGCCGCCTATTTGCTTGTTGTAATGTCTATAAGAAAGAGTAAGTTTTACGATATTGACTCTTCAGATAGACGATATCGTACACTGCTGTGTTGCACACTATTAAACTTTTTTCTTGACAAATTAGTATAATTAAAATTTTCATCTTTTCAGATAAGTATTAAAACAATAAATTTATTAAGAAATGTTATAGTATTATTAGTCACATTCTTTTTTTGTTATAAATTACTTGTGTAAAGAAAGTATATTGAAAATTTTAGCTGAACAGTTAATATTTTTGGTAAAACTTGATACAAAAGATCGAACAGCCTTCTATTAAAGGTTGACCAAATCCGCTGTAAAATGAGGCGTTTATACAAAGTTGACTGGTGACCAGTGACCAGCGACTATAAATATATACAACGAGGCGAAAAGAGTTTATTGTTCAATGTTGTTGTTATTCACTGTGCTCTTCTAGTTATCTGTTATTCTATTCCCTAGCAAAAGCTACTTAAAGTTACCAATTTTAGTTCAGCAGTAGTCATACTTAATCAAGTCTTGAAAGAACTGCTGTCTAAATTTGATTGTAAAATTTTAGTGGTAAACTTTATAGTATCTTACTGGCTATGCGAATAAGTTGAGGGGATATCTTCTTTATCATATTCTTTAAATAAACGAAAGAAACTAAGTTTTTAACAAACTGATCTAGGTGCCGGGAAGTTACTTTTAAGTGTATTTATATAGTTTGTGAGATTGTTTCATGCAGTTATGGGAATAAATATTTGTAAATAATGTTTTGGGTTATTTCTGTTTACTTCTTCCTTTTGTGGATGGAGGAGAAAGATCTAAATCAATATTATCTGTCGTTATAATCGCAGCTGCTACAACCGACCTGACCTTTTCGCAAATGAAATTTATTGTTAGGGTTGACCAGTTGTTTCCTGACATTGTGCGATAATTTTTGCATACATAAATTGCACCGGCTGCGCGTTCCACTCGATTTTAGTTTGCATTTTGGAACTGATAGATTTTGCACTTTTTTTGCAGTTTATTCTGCTTTTCTGCAACGTGTGCTAAGAACATCAAATTTCAATTGTTTTTCTTTAGTGTTCTCGAAGGTACTGGAAAAATGCTATCAATCCGTTCGCTTAAGAATCACGT